TTTTTAGTGGTTTCTGAACTTTCCATACTTCCTCGTATTCTTTAAAACCAAAGGCTCAGTAGTTTTAAATCAAGATAGTAAAGAAACATATTGTTTATGGGGAAAAGGATCCTAGATATTTCAAAATCACTGATACACTCTCAAGCAATGTATTTCTATCAGTTTAAATATTTCAAGTATTTATCTATGAAGTAGAAGTAAATCAACATGACCTCATCAACTGACACTGATTTTTTTTTTGTAGATGTCCAGAAAATGCTGATGAGTACTGCAGCTTTTCATATTTCCTACTGATGAATGAAGGGAGACAGAAATAGAAGTTCTTGGCAATTGGTGGTGTGTTCCAACATATGCAATCACTTCCTTCTATTGCAGAAAAGGAAGTGCCAATACAAGTTGCTCCAGAAAGATAAGATGCACGGGGGGCTTTGTGGAGGAGGGAGGGCGAGATGAGGTAGGAACAGTGGCAAATAGAATCAGCATGGACGGTGAGAATGGAGTGAGTAGTATTGAATGTGTCTTGGCCAATAGCTATCAACAGGCTGACCTCCGTCAATAATCAACAGCTTGTAGAAGATATGTTGCTTCTGTTCTCATACAATGTTGTTTATCATCTCATGCCTGCTTTTTCCTTTACTGATTGCTTCAACAGCTCTTCATCCAGAATCTTACTGGAGGTCAGGCAGTGAGCCAAGGAGTCAAAAACCTCTGTCCTTACAATCTACTTATAGCATACTAGACCATGCAACTTTACGGAATTAGATCTTATAATCAGGTTTCCTGCATTTTAAAGGTTAAAAATTAATACCCAGGTTATGTTTTGATCTCAAAAGAACCCCTAAATGACAATAGAGTAAACAGTGTATATTCCCCCCTCAAGGAGTGGTATATATGCAGCCTGACCGGAGGTGATGAGCATCATTCCATCTCCTGAGCAAGTTCTGTTTCTCCAGGCTCATCAGGGACCTATAGGAGAGAAGTAGCATGGGATACAAATGCGACTGTGGGGAATTTGGAGCCATTTCTTCACCATGAGGGAAAACAATATGGCAAAGATGAGCCAAGAGAATCACAAAGAATTGGAGTTAGATTCCTGCTCAAACATACTTGAATGTTGCTCTATCCATGGACTTAGCTGTTATGTGGGCCCCTAAATTCCACAGATTGTTTAGCTATTATGTGGTGGTTTTAAAATATGCACACAAATTATTTCACACTTGTCCCTTGGTGTTTAATTTCCCCTTCCCTTAAAAGTGGACCACACCTTATGACTTGTTTCTAATGAATAGAACGTGGCAGACGTGATGGTGGGTGACTTCTGAAGTGATGTAGTAATGATACTGTCACTTCCCTGATGTCCTCTCTTGGATGACTCACTTTGGGGGAAGATAGCTGCCATGTTGTAAAGATACTCAAGCAGCCTGTAGAGAGCTTCACGTGGGGAAGAACAGCTGAGGCCTCTAACCAACAACCAGAAACACTGTGTCATCTGTTTGAATGAGCAACTGTGGAGACTGATCCTTCATCCCCAGTCAGACATTCAGATGAGGCAGCCTCTACTGGTATCCTGGCAGCAACCTCTGAGCAACTCCAGCTAAACTGGCCCTCGGAAACTGAAAGGAAAATGTGTGCTGTAACTTCTAACCACTAAGTTTTGAGTTAATTTTTTATGCAGCAATAGATTACCATTGCGGATTTTGGCAGTAGAAACAGGGGCGCCTGGGTGGCTCAGTCGTTAAGCGTCTGCCTTTGGCTCAGGTCATGGTCCCAGGATCCTGGGATCGAGCCCTGCATTGGGCTCCCTGCTCTGCAGGAAGCCTGCTTCTCCCTCTCCCACTCCCCCTGCTTGTGTTCCCTCTCTCGCTGTGTCTCTCTCTATCAAATACATAAATAAAATCTTTTAAAAAAAAAGAAAGAACGAAACAGGGCACCCTCAGAAGTGGGAAGAAGCTGCAAAGATATTGAGATGGGTGCAACATACCACTAATTGCTCAAAGATATTGAGATGGGCGAAAAAATCAAGAGTCTCAAAGACCCTGGCAGTGGACATCCACTGGCCTGTGAGAAGCCCACAGGGAAAGGCTTAATGTACAGTGGAGGAAATGTTTTTGAAAACAAGAGGAAAGGAAGCCTTGTGTGTTGGCAGAAAGTTTAGCAATATTGTTGATTGCAGTAATTCAAAAAATAAAAAATATATATATACCTCGTGCACTTGGTGATCAGCCAAGGAGATTTCCAGGCAAGGTTTTTGGGGGCAGAGTGACACCAGGCTGCTTTTTGCAACAAACAGTGAAATGTGAGAAGAGAGAGATCCGCTAAAGGAAGTAAGGATAAGCAAAAAGGAGCAAGGACTTGTTAATACTGAAATTTCCTAGCGTCCTGAGGGTAAACAATGCTAAAATAAGACATGACTCCCAGGCAAAGAAAAAATCCAGAGCACAGTCAGGAACACCTGCCATTAAGTTGGAGGCAAGGTGTGATTCAACTCAGAATGATCTAAAATGAGGTCTTGAAGAACCACATGGTGAAACAGTAAGACTTTGAAGAAACTTGAAGATGTGTTTCTTTAGAAGTCCCAGCAGGAGCTCAAGGTAAACATGAACTACTCTTCAGAATATTTCTAGGTGTGGCTTTCATCAAATGAAATGTGTCTCAACAAGAAACATGGGAGACACACACAATTTTTCAAGAGAATTACAGTAGCAGAAAAGCCACCAGCTTAGACTAGAAAAGACAGAAGCTGTTCAAAAGGAAATGAGGCATTTGGGCCCCAAACTTACACAGGCAAGAAACAACCAAGAAAACAACTTAGCTTGGTGCATAGGCCACATTTCATGGGAAAAGGATGATTCAGAGCAAAACCGAGAGCCAAGAGGGCAGAGTCAGGAGCCAAGGAGGATTACTCACACACCTGGAGTCTTCAAGAAGGAAGTTCCAACATGAGTCCTAGGAGAACCAAGGATTGCTATGTGGCAGTGACTTCCGTGTGCCTCCATTGTGAAGGGAAACGTGCATATTGGTTATCTTGTGCTTGCCACACCATTATACATCTGGGTGACGTGGTCTGTGTTGCTCACAGGTCTTCAGAGTCCAAGAAGTTGAACTCAGCTACCACCACTAGTGAGATAGGAATGGAGTGGGTTGAGTGTATTTTCCGTGCGAGAGGATAGATTTTTTTTTCTAATCAAGATAAGAATTCACTTGGCATTTTAATCAAATTTCATAAAGCAGCAAGTCTTTAATTTGACTTTGAGTGTTTTCTTCAAAGACATTTGTGGTATCCTTGGTACTTGGACTAAATTGTGTTCCCCATATTCCTATGGTGAAGGTCTGCCCCCAGTTCAACTCTTCGGAGGGAGGAAGATGAGGTCATGAGAGAGGGGCCCTGACCTAACACAATCAGTGTCCTCATAAGAGACACCAGAGAGCCTGCCCATTCTCTCTCTGCTGTGAGAAGTGGTCATCTACAAGCCAGGGTGAGAGCTCTCACCAGGAGCTGAACTGGCCAGAATGTGATCTTGGACTTCGGACCTCCAGAGCTATAAGGAAATAAATTTCCGTGTAAGCCACCCAGTCTGTGGTATTTTGTTATGGCAGCCTGAGCAGACTAAGACACACAGTATCATTAATTTAAAACTCTAAGATATTTGGGGCTAAAAGCATTGAATTTCGGCCTGATTATACTTTTTTATTAGTTTTGAGGCCATTGTTCATAAACTGTATGATTTTGGCAGCCTCTACGTCTTAACTGGGGACACTATGAAACAGAGGTAGGTTTACTGCAAAGCTATAACGCTTAAGGCATTTTTGGGATTCAGCTAAAGGAAAACTGAGATAGAGGTACTCTTTTTTTTTTAAGATTTATTTATTTATCTGAGAGAGAGAGAGTGAGCACAACAGGGAGGGGCAGAGGGAGAGAAAATTTGAAGCAGAGTCGGCACTGAACGTGAAGCCTGACATGGGGCTCAATCTCATCACCCTGAGATCACAACCTGAACCAAAACCAAGAGTCAGATGCCCAACTGACCATGCCACCCAGACACCCCTGAGCTCGAGGTACTTTTAATCTGGGTTTTCTAGGGTATAGCTGTGTGATTCTTTGGCAAATCTAGTAAGTTATTGCTAACTAGGTCAACAGAGGAATGCCCTGCAAGGTTACTCCCTGCCCACCCCACCCCCATCTTCACAACAAATACCCTGGCATTCGTGATAGCAAGGGCTGGTGCCTCTGCTATATGCCCAGCTCATTTTCTTGATCTTGTTGGGAAAACTAGCTGCCTCCATAAGTTCTGAAGTTGTTGACCTCGTCAGTAATTTGCTGAGATGATCCTAAATGTAAACGTGCATGAAAAATTTAATTTTTCTTAAGATAATACCAGTGAAACAACAAGGCAGGACCACTAGTGTTCAAGCTTTGAAAATTGGGTCCCATGATGTTTTAAGGACTCCACGGTAAATATTTGAAGACTCTGAAGAGAAACCCAAACACAAGTGAGATATGATAAATTTATTTAAAAGACTGATAAAGCTTGGGTATGCCATTGTAACTGCAATGTGATAGGATGTTTTAGAAGTTTCAATAAGGGGGGCGCTTGGGTGGCTCAGTTGGTTAAGCGACTGCCTTCGGCTCAGGTCATGATCCTGGAGTCCCTGGATTGAGTCCCGCATCGGGCTCCCTGCTCGGCAGGGAGTCTGCTTCTCCCTCTGACCCTCCCCCCTCTCATGTGCTCTCTCTCTCAGATAAATAAATAAAATCTTTTTTTTTAAAGATTTTATTATTTATCTGAGAGAGAGAGGGATAGAGCACAAGCAGGGGGAGCAGCAGAGAGGGAGAAGCAGGCTCCCCGCTGAGCAGGGAGCCCGATGCGGGGCTCGATCCCAGGACCCTGGGATCATGACCTGAGCCGAAGGCAGACGCTTAACCGACTGAGCCACCCAGGCGCCCCTAAATAAAATCTTTAAAAAAAAAAAGTTTCAATAAGGAATAGGAATTACAATTTCAATAAGAAATAAGGAATTACAAGTTCCTCATTTATACACATACAATAGGTATGTTTCAATTATTTTCAAATATATTATTAAGTAAAACACAAAGCATAGTCCAAAAGATAATGGAATATGAAACAAAACAGAAAGATGTGTATTGAAAATAAAACCCTTATTCCAATATTGAGTAGAAAATGTAATAAACTTTTTTTCAGATGACACCAAAAGCAGTAATTCATTAAGGATAAGAAATAAATTTCAAACAGAAGCCACAAAAGGCTTTTTGAATTTTCTGATAATAACAATGAAGAGATGTGCATCATCTAGACCCATTGCCAAGAAGTTTGAAAATTCTTGCTTATCTGACACAAAATCCTGGCATTGATTATGTTAACATGAAACACATACTATGCCACTAGAAATGGGACATTTTTGAAAAGCTGGTTAATGAGTATCATCAATCAATTCCATTAAATATGAGTACAATTTAAAAATCTTGAAATGCCCTGCAAACTTAGGGTTTACATAGAAAGAAACTTGATAGAGGTCTTCAGAATATACCATTGCCAATAATGAGTTGTAAAACTGGAAGATATTTTTCTAAACTATTAATTAAAAAAATAGTCTGCTAACCATTCTAGAGGAAAGACTAAATTTGTCTGTCTGTTCTATAAAAATGGCAGAACAAATCTTTACACCCGAATTATGTATGCTACCAATAATTTTTAAGGGTTTCAGAGTTATATTAGACAGCTAATTAAAATATAATGTGATACACACACACACACAATGGAATACTACTCAGCCATCAAAAAAGAAATCTTGCCATTTGCAATGACATGGATAGAACTAGAGGGTATTATGCTAAGCAAAATAAGTCAATCAGAGAAAGACAATTATCATATGATCTCACTCATATGTGGAATTTAAGACACAAAACAGAGGATCATAGGGGAAGGGAGGAAAAAATAAAACAAGATGAAATCAGAGAGGGAGATAAACCATAAAAAATTCTTAATCATAGGAAACAAACTGAGGGTTACTGGAGGGGAGGTGGGTGGGGGGATGGGGTAACTGGGTGATGGGCATGAAGGAGAGCACGTGATGTTATATGCATTATCATTAGCGCTGGGTGTTATATGCAACTGATGAATCATTAAACTCTACCTCTGAATCTAATAATACATTATGTCAATTAATTTAATTTAAATAAATAAATAAAAAGACAATTATGTTAGGGGTGCCTGGGTGGCTCAGTCGGTTGAGTGTCGGACTCTTGATTTCTGCTCAGGTCATGATCTCAGGGTCATGAGATGGAGCCTCAGGTCAGGCTCCCTGTTGAGCATGGAATCTGCTTGGGATTTTCTCTCTCTCTCTCTCTCTCTCTCTCCCCCTCTGCCTCTCCCCTTACTCATGCACGTGTGTTCTCTCTCTCTCTCTCTAATAAATAAATAAAATATTTTTTAAAAAGACAATTATGTTAATTTTCTGAATTTTATAACATTTGTTGTATTTGAATGCTTTTATAAAAATTGCAATTTCATTTGTTTTCTCCTGATTAAAAACATTACTTTATTATTAATTTTCTACTTATTTTTTAATTTTTAAAGAAGGTCCCCCAAAATGTATGTTTCAGACCCTACAACATGGGACCATTGTGCTGGGGTGACCCTTGGCAGTGGTCACTGTATCACTTTCAAGAGTCTTGCTTTCAAGAGTAAAGGAAAAAGAGGGATGGGGAAATGGAGTTATTTTAATTTTCTCTTTTTTTACTTTACTCTTCGATGGCTTTTAAAAGATGTGATTATGATTCTCCCAAATAGATAACATTATTTAAACCCCTATTAAAAATTAATAAAGACAAAATTATTAAGGTTCATATCCCTTTAAATAAGGAGAAACCCAAATGATGACTCATTCATTTCAAAGGTAATACGCAACTCAAGAACGAAGATCTGCCAAAATGAGAGAAAAAAATACTTACCGAGTGGTTATGGTTGGGGGTATGGAGACTCCCTGAGAAAAGGAGGGGAAGATGTGGGAAGCTTTTTTTAGTCCCTGCAGAGCTAAGCCTTATCTTGCAAATCCTCCTAACCTGGAGAGCTTTGGCATGCCATTACCTGTCCAAACCCACTGGGGTCCAGAGGGAAGAACGCCAGGTGACATTACCAGGGGCACCGACAGACTTTCATGTGTAGGTCAGTTTTAGTCTCTGATTCATGTATTTAGATAAAATGCTTTTTATGGATCTTTCTATGGAATTTAACTGGATGATTGATTCCCCTGGCAGGGCTTGTAATCATAATTAAAGGGCTTTCCATACTGCGAGTGTAACAAGAATCTCTGCTTTGATACAGGCCAACAAATTGATTTGCACATTAAGTAGTAGATACAATAAAATATTTTAAAAGTGAATATCACACACTGTTAACAGCACAGTTGGAAATTATCAACAAGAACTAATGCACGTTTTTCTAAAAAGACTTTTTTTGTAACATGCAAGTAATTCTCTTCCGCGGTTTTGTTAACTTGCTGAATGCTTAAGATCATCAACACTTGATCAAATGCCTCAGGAGTGGAAGAATTTTAGAGGAATATCAAGTGAAGCTAAGTGTGAAAGGGGGAGGACAGAGGGAAGAGGAGAGGGTGGGGGGAGGGCAGCCGAGGCGATGATCCCATCCCTGCAGGCTGGACAGCATCCCAGAGGAAGTCAGGCAGATAGGCATTCCACGATATCACAAAGCAAGTAACACAGCAAGGAGCAGTAACAGAGACTCACAGAGGACACCAATGGGAAGGTAACACATCCTCTTTAAGTCACATTGTGTCTGATCATTTGTTTTCAAAGAGAACGTAATTGATCTGTGAACTGATGGATTACATTTTTTTTGCAACAGATTACTGGTATGTTTCACATAATTCAGAAAAAGTTTTAAATACTTCAGTGAAATTCTGTGACACTCCAGCTCTTCTCAGGGCCCACATCAACTGAAAAAAAAAAAAAAAAGCCTTATAAATAGATTTAATGCTACACTTATCCCATTCTGTCAATTAAGTAGTAATTACCCATGGATACATAAACTCATAAAAAATATGCCCATCGATTTCATTAGGCCACACATTTCTAATTAAATTCTATCTTTGATTTTCTGAATATAAAGTTGTACAATATATTTGTTATTTTGATCAATCTTATACAAATATTAATTATAACTCAGTATAGAAAAATGTAACATTTGGGGCGCCTGGGTGGCTCAGTCCTTGAGTGTCTGCCTTCGGCTCGGGTCATGACCCCGGAGTCCTGGGATCGAGCCCTGAACCAGGCTCCCTGCTCAGTGGGGAGCCTGCTTCTCCCTCTCCCACTCCCCCTGCTTGTGTTCCTGCTCTCGCTATCTCTCTTTGTCAAATAAATAAATAAAATCTTTAAAAAAAAAAAAGAAAAAAGAAAAATGTAACATTTAGAGCTGTGTGGGCAGAATTAAAATACTCCATTTTTAATTTATATGTTTTCTTCACAGAAGGAATAATGAAACAATTGATAAAAATGTTCAAGAAAAAATATTACATTAAGATAAAATTTGTAGAGGGATACAGCTGGAATACAGTTCAAAGAGAAACAGGAAGAATTCCCACAGCTGAATTGCTTGTTTTGAATTGTGTATGTCCTTTTAATAGGTGATGTCAGTACCAAATGACCGTTGTTAGTAAAAGTCCACTGACCACATTTAAAAGAACAATTCCTTAGTTTCATTTCCGTCTGTCCATAATATGGTGTGCTGAAATTCTCATTGCTTGCAACTATTCCACTTACGAAGAAAAACTTTGTATCTGTTTAATAATGATTGAGAGCTTGCAGTTTGCAAAATATAGTATATTCATATACTAATATAGTATGTTATAATAGTGAAAACATTTGAAGATCACTGTTCTGAAGCATCATGAAACCTACTTTCTGAAGCAAAATTACCTGAAAATGGACTTTTTTTTACTCATTTGAATAGCTTTGTCATTTTTCTCAACATAGTGATCTATAAGAAACATGTTTTATGTTTCTATGATGAAATATGTATTACTTTGTTGAATTAACTAGTAATTTCATCATAATTTCCGTGATTTTCTTTCATGACACTATGTCTCCACTGAAGTTCATTTTGTTTAGATTTTTAAAATCCGCTGAGTAAATGTTTAATCTTTTTTTAATAACATGGATTATACACATTTTCTAACATAGAGCATCTTAGCAGAAACACACATACGCACACACACTTAGAGATTTTAACTTTTAGGACTTTAGAAATGTAAGAGTTCTTATTGTCTTAAATAATTGGTTTCACCAGACATGCAAACTAAAATAAAAATTTGTAGCAGACAGTTGAAACTTATAGTATATGGCATCTAGATGTAACCACCTGGGCTCATATGGAGGGGAGCAAAATATAGCTTCAGCTGATATGTTCTGGTCTGAACAGATGTTTCCAAACCCACATGGAGGATATGAATCTCTGAAAATAACACACCATTTCCAGGGGCAGCATTAGGATTATCAGCAACAAACTGCTATTCACTAAAACTAGCAAACGCATAAAGGCAGAAATTTCAGAAGTGTTTTATAAGGGGAGTGGGTCATACTACACCCTTTAGGGGACTCTCTGATGCATGGTAGGTACCCAATAAATACGTATAATTGCAGCTCTACACAGAACCATGTGGAGAAAAATTTTGCAAATCCTGGAAGTGAGGCAAAAGGATGAGTGTGTATGTGTGTGTGAGTGTGTGTGTGTGTGTGAGTGTGAGCGAGCATGTATGTGTGTCAGTGAGTGTGTGTGTGCATGAGCTATGTATTCGTGAGTGAGCATGGGGGTGGTATGGGTGTGAGGATAAGCCTGAGTGAGTGTGTGTGCACGAGTGTGTATGTGTGAGTGGGGGTGGCGTGTGTGAGAAAGAGTGTGTGAGTGTGTGTGAGTGTGTCTGTGTGCATGAGTGTGTATGTGTGAGTGGGGGTGGTGTGTGTGAGAATGAGGGTGTGAGTGTGTGTCATGTGTGCATGTGAGTGAGCACTGGGGTGGTGTGTGTGAGAATGAGTGTGTGAGCATGTGTGTGAGTGTGAGCGAGCGTGTGTGTGCGTGGGTGTCTGTGTGCATGAGTGTGTATGTGTGAGTGGGGGGTGGTGTGTGTGAGAATGAGGGTGTGAGTGTGTGTCATGTGTGCATGTGCATGAGTGTGCATGTGAGCGAGCACTGGGGCGGTGTGTGAGAATGAGTGTGTGAGCGCGTGTGTGAGTGTGAGCGAGCGTGTGTGTGCGTGGGTGTGTATGTGTGAGTGAGCGTGGGGGCGTGGGGATGAGCGTGTGTGAGTGAGGGAACCTGACTGTGTGAGCACATGTCAGCAGTTTTAACGAAGATGTGGAAGGCGTACTGAAACCGAGCCCGTCGATAACTTCCACCATTCCTTCTCTCAAGTGGAACCTGAGATCACCACTCCTCTCTTCAGACACCCCGTCCTGGCTTTGCCCATGAGTTGTTAAGTGATCCTGCCACTTAGATGTCATCATCTTGCCCTTTCACCCACCCTGACCTCACCTGTTCTCTGTTCACCTGGGACCAATAACCAGCGTCTTGTCCGTAAGCACCTCCAAATTATTTAAGGGCAAAAACTGGAGAAGGATGAATAAGTTAGGGAGAAAAGTAATCACAAGTCAAGATTTGAGTTCATTTTCTTTAGACAGTGTCTGTTTCCTCTCTGTTTTCTTGGGGGCTTGTTCCTTGCCCTAGGAACGCAGGAATGAGTCAAATGCTCTCCTAAGGGGTTCCCCCAAGGTGCGAAGCTGCGCTGGACCTGGCAGGGTGGGGGTTTATGACTGGGCTAGGGAAGAGCAGTGGGCTCCAGGGGAGGTGCCCCAGGGGTCTGGGGGCTGGCATGTGCTGAGCGGTGGGGGGCTCTGGGGTGGCAAACTAGAATTCCCATTTTAAGGAAAGTATGAGAATCTAGAGAAAAGAAAGCACAGGATGGAAGTTCTGAGTTAAAGCAATGTTGAGCCCATTAAGCCAACTGATTTCACTCGTACAGAGACTCAGAATTGTAAATGATGTGCCCACAACCTAACAATCATGCTTCTTGCCTCTCTGTCAGGCACACTCCCCCGACTCTGGGTGTGCCTGTGTGTGTTGGGGGGTGAGTTGGTCAAGGTTGGGAAGGCAGATGAAACTCTGCAGTCTGAAAGAGCATGCTTTAAAGAACATCGGCCAAATGGTTTACAAGGTACTGTTTTCTCAAAACAATGTGACAACTCACTGAAGACAGATTCTGAGTAAAGGAGGGTCCGAATGGAAAGTGGCGAGCCATGCTGATGATATGGAGGGCCAGACCAAAATGTGTCTGTGTGTCTCTTTGTTTTTCTGATGAGCAAAGTGGTTAAAAAGGGCTCTAGACTTGAAGTAGGGGGTACAAGGCCAAGGGAGGGATGGGAAGGGGTAAGGACGGGCCAGGCCATCACCTCAGGACAGCTCTACTGATACATGATGGTAGAGAAGCAGGCTCTGTGGCCCCCAGTCTCCCCAGCACCGGGCACTCCATCACCCTTCAGTGGGCCAGCATCGGGGCCTTCAGACTCTGCCCCACAGGGCTCTTCTCATGAGCAAGGTGAGGACGGAGTTCCCAAAGTAAAGGAGGAGAATTGTCCCCGATGATATTGCCACCCCAGAATGTGCACATAGCTGCCCAGGACACACCACCCCAAAATGTGCAGCCGTGGCATGTTGCTTATTTGAATGGAAGGCACTTGAGAGACAGCAGGGGCAGGAGGAGGCTTTCTCTGAACTCCCCTCAACTGCCTGAAGACAGATCCTCCAAAAGGACCTCAATGTCCTCAGTCCCCTCCCCGGGACCCAGGAAGAGGAGGAGAAGGTGACACGCAGAATGTCACAAGCTGTCACCCCGCCCATCTGTTCCTCTAAGGGCCCAGCCATCTCCCCTAACCCGTCACTCTGCCCTGAGATGTCTCCAGCAGCTTCCTTCCCCATCAGGATGGTGTTTAGGCCTACATCTAAGCCGCCCATTTTTCCAGGTATCTCCTGTGTGTATGCGAGTTCATATGTTTCTGTTTGTGTTTGTCTTGATGCTCTATGCTCTACTACAGGCGGGGCTCAGCCATGGATTTGAAGAGCAGAGGGGAAATTATTCTCCTCCCCTACTCCATGCACATCTAGGGACAGAGTTGGCCTGGTCCTCAGATTTGGGATCAGCCCCCTGGGCCACTCACCTTCTTGGGGAGGCTGCATAACCTCCCACCTCCCACCAGCTCCTTAACGCAGTGCTCTTCTCTCCAACTTTCTCCTGCATCCACCTGCTGTCCATCTCTATGATTCTGGCAGACGGCACCTGGCGTGACTGCCCCCTGCCCCGCAGGCCTGCCTGGCTGTGTGAAGCTTCCTGCCAGAGCACAGACATTGTCTGCGCGCAGAGCCAGGGGCCCTAGGGCGCGAAGCCTGCCCCGGCCCCACCGGAGCCCGGCACAGTTCTGTGCGGAGCTATGTTGCTCTCCAGCAGCCGTAACCTCCTCTGTAAAAGCAGGGATGGATTTCTAAGTTCTTGCCTAAGTTTCAATTTTGATTCCATGACTCAGAGTTTCGCTGTGTTTGGTTTGGTTTTTCCAAACATGTGTTCTGGATGTTTCTCCTCACCAGAGTCCAAGCAAGAGACAGACTCAGCAGAAGCGTCACCTCTGAGGGATGGTTTCCAGGTTGGCATCGGTGGCACTAAGGAAGGTGGGGGTCTTGCTCGGGACCCGGGGTGGGTGGTCCGGCAGTGTGCATGGCACCGCTCTAGGTACAGGTGGGCTCGGGGCCCCTCGGGGCAGCTCCCAGTCACCGACACTTCTAGCACTGCTGCTCTGGGCAGGCTACATCCCCTCGTTGCGCCTCCATTCCTTAGCAATGAAACGGGCATAGACACTGCACCCTCGCAGCAGGATTGTTGTAGAAACTGAAAGGAATCAACGCACGAAGACGGGTAGCGAAGTGGGGGCACCCAGTGACTGCTCCGCACCGCTTAGGATGACCGGGGCGGGGAAGACGTGGGAGCGATGAGCGTGCCAGTCACAGAGCACATGCCAAGGCGGGGATGGGGTCAGGGATGTCCTGCAGAGACAGAGGGGGAGCAAGGGCCCCACAACTTCCTGGCAGCCAGCACCAGACTGCATAACCCCTGCTCCAGCTTCTTTCCAAGCAGTCCTCTGGTCCAAGCATCTGGTTAGGAGGTCAGCCCTTCATGCAGCAGCATCACGAAGGACATAAAACATTCAGGTGATATTTATCCCTGCACAGGTCTCCCTTTTGTCCTTATTTAGACCACTGGTGCCCTTCATAATGTACATTTGGACCCTGACGTGCTCAGCTGCCCCAGCTGCATTTGTTGGAACTACCTCTTCTCCTTGTCATGATTTTAACATTTCATGGACTTGAAACCCTTTTAAGCAACAGATAAATAAGATTCTCCAAGTATGTGGTTCAGATTTCTAAAAGTTTGATAATATGATTCCCTAAGACTAAGTATCCAATTTAAAACAGGAACCACCAAGCATAGAACCTCCCTGGGATCCTGGCTTAATTAGATTATCCAGTTTCTTGGTAGGAAGTCACATGCAGCACAATTTTAACAGTGTCCCTGGATTTTAACAATTTACCTATAGTCTTCAAGGGAAAACCTATGGTGGTGTTTTGACCTCAAGCTGGTGGTCATTCCCAACACACTTGAACTTCTCCAACTTGATTCACTGGCCTCCTGAAAACCCTCTTTGGGACACATCTTGCGTCTGGGTGAAGGAAGGGTCCGATTTCACACGTCAATCTCCAAGTATGAGAGTGCTCAGGACAGAATAGTGATTTTACCCTGACTATAGGAGGAAATTATAAGAAGTAGGCGTTTCTCTTCATGTAGAAATTAAAGGAAGTCAAAGAAGTGGTAGATCAACTTCTGACATATTCACATCTGACATGTTACACTGCGGGTGTTTTAATTAACATGGGGTAAAGAAAATAAAAGACAAAATAAATATTGAGATAAGGATTCACACTTAGAACTGCAAGGCTGAATCTCTTTTTAAGTTTTTCTGAAGAGATTAACACCTGATAGAGGAAACTCTATCTTCATATTATCACAAAACTGGAAATCAGTGTAAATGGTGTCCTTTTTTTTTTTTTTAATTTTTATTTATTTAACAGAGAGAGAGAGAGAGAACACAAGCAGGGGGAGTGGGAGAGGGAGAAGCAGGCTTCCCACCAAGCAGGGAGCCCGACGCGGGGCTCGATCCCAGGATCCCGGGATCACGACCCGAGCCGAAGGCAGACGCTCAACGACTGAGCCACTCAGGCGCCCCGTAAATGGTGTCCTTTTTAAAACAACTAAGAGGGCGCCTGGGTGGCTCAGTTGGTTAAGCGACTGCCTTCGGCTCAGGTCATGATCCTGGAGTCCCGGGATCGAGTCCCGCATCGGGCTCCCTGCTCAGCAGGGAGTCTGCTTCTCCCTCTGACCCTCCTCCCTCTCGTGCTCTCTGTCTCTCATTCTCTCTCTCTCAAATAAATAAATAAAATCTTAAAAAAAAAAAAAAAACAACTAAGAATAATTTACTTTCACCTGATTTTAATATTCTTCTTTCTTCTAGACTTATCTCAGGATGCCATGCCCACTGCCTACTAAGATTAGATCAGAGAGTTTTCCTTCAAATTAGGAAGTACGAGGTATATGTTATTCATTCCCACTAAGTCCAGAAAAATCAAATGGTTAAGTTGCAAAGTTTATTGCTTATTTTTTCTTACCTCCCCTTACCTACTGGCAGAGATTATGATTTAAACATAGAAGCACATAGCAAAAAGGCAAATAACTGGAATAAATAACCGTATAGCTCATTGCTTGGAATGAAAGCTTGACACAGGATCTCCGTGTACCTAATATCATTTGCTTGAACACGAAGAGAGGAGTATTTTGTACCTAGAATATATGAAGAATTACTTTAATCTTTATGGCTTTGGATAACACATTCCTTCTTACCAGAAGAAAGTGGACTTAAAGTTATGAAAAAATTAAAATTAAATTCACAATTTCTATTTTCCTTTTAAGAAGAGCTCTCTCTACAGCACCATTGCCCTGACAAGAGGAATGAATCAGCTAAAATAAATGAGGTTTCCAGGGTATCGAGATGCAACGTAAGCTTAGTATTTCATTGTCTGGCCAAATATTTGTGGTGCAGATTGGAGTACAGACTTGGGGATACAACTTTAAATAAATAACTCGTTATCTAAAACTCCAAGGCTTGCAAGATTCAGTGTGGACTTTCCCATAAATAGTCAGCAGGCTTTCCTACAAGAATCTGGATGTAGGTCTGTTTGGGGGCCATAAATCCCAGGAGCCTGATGTACTGGCCTGCGGATTTCACCAACAACACTCTTGACTTTCTCACAAACACCAGACATTGAGGAGCAACTGTGCTCTGTTCCCGACCATCAGAGACCAGCAAGTGAGGCCGTGTCCCAGAGACCTCTCACTGCTGCCTAGCAATCTCAGTAAGTTATGCGAGACGGTCTCAGTTCTTACTGCTCCCTTATGACTATTAATGATGCACGAGTTTCTAAAGCTTGAAGGGGTTCAGCACGTGCCACCCCAAAATATACCATGTTGGTATATGGATTCCTTTGAGTTGAAGGCACTCGAGAATCAGCATGTGCGGGGCAGGCTGGCTGACCTTCCTTTTTCTACCCAAAAGCAGGTCATCCAATTTTCCTCGAGAAAGCACCTCCCTGCGCCAGGAAGAGCAGCACATTGTTATCGATGCCAAAATGAAACTGTGTAAACACACCTGCTAAAATGACCCTGATCTCCCATGAGCTCCCTTAAGATCTCCCCCTTATTGTCTCACATTTGACTGCCCCGGCCTCAGCCCCTTTCTCTTGTGACATCCCCAGAATCTACCATTCTTTGTGTAAAAGGCATGCCAGCTTTGGGGCCTAATGGCTCTGTCAGATCTTCATTTTCCTTCTGAAGACTCCTCATGGTAGTGTAGCTCCTCCACCACAGATTCTGAGAGGGTAGAAGGAAGTATTTCCTCTCTGACAAGCTTATCTTGCAAATATATGGCACTGAGTCACGGGTCCTTCAGATTACTTCTCGCAGGCACATTCCTGACATTACTGTTGCTAATGTGGGGGGACTTCGAGGCTCAGTGAGCAGGGGGAGAGCCCTCTCCTCTGACATCCAAATCATGACATGAACAAGCCTTCAAAGACCAGTGTTCAGTGCCCAGTCAGTTCAGCAAAGAACATAGTAGAAGCTCAATAAATATTTGTTGAGCAAATGCATGATCAGTTCTTCTATATGGAAAAATCAGCAAAGAATCTGTGGGGCTAAGAAGCAATTTTTAGTAGGCTCTTCTTTGTGTAAAGTCTGCCTCAAATGCTCAATTTTCAATGAAAACAAAATTTCATGAAGTTATTTACTGACTGCACAATTTCCTTCTTCAAAGTGATACTGTGGAATATTTTTACTTGGATTTTTTTCTAAAGTACAATATAAAAAAGAAAGAACAAGAAGAAAACTATACTTCTCTTTAAAAAAAAAAAAAAAACTACTCAGTAATCATCCTGAGTTTGTAAGATGGTATATGTATATTTTTAGTACCCCATATCAACATAATTAAAGTTGATAACTTTGAATTTTGATGCACAGAGATCTTGTACAATGTGAACTACTCAATGCCCAGGCGTCCAGCTCAACAGATAGCAAGCACTCTCCTAGACATCGCACTAACATGACAGCAAAGAATACTAGTTCATTCTTCTTTAGGTTTGAAAAGCACTGTTACATACATTATCTCATTCCATCATCATCAGGACCTTGTGAGTTTCAAAGAGCAGTTTGCCCAAGGTCATCCAGCAAGCAAGCTGCAAAGCCCTTTGAGGAAGATCATCTCCCCGGAAACAGTACCGCTGTACGGACCCACTGTGATAGGGTGATGGGACGTTTCCATTTCATTAGGCGTCGTCAAGGGTGAAGTTGGTGTTGGATAGAGAGGGTTTCATTTGCAGCAATACTGAGGAATGAAAGCTCTCTCTTTTCATCCTACAAATGATCGGTGAGTGGCTGCTAGACTACTACCAAAATCAACATTTCTCTGCGTGCAGCACGCTTTGGCAAAAACGATTTAACTGACACATCTTTCGAAGATGAATGGAAGCCCCTCAGTGAGGGCTACACATTGTCTTTTCAGGACGCAGAGATGCACAAAGCTGGTGTTTGCACTGAAGGCATCTGTGATGGTGCCAGGAAAGCGGAGCTGTAACTCATTTCCATAAAACCCCACATGTTTTTCTTACAAATGGATGGGCCAAAGCAGCACGTTCATTGTTTATACAATATGTGTAATTTCTCCCTCTAATGAAAGATGACATGCCGCCAGCAGAGAGCGGAGAGCCTGTATGGTGGAAAACAGGCTAATGGAGCACCCACAAGCCCTGAGCAGCCATGTGACCCCCCCACTGGCACTCGGGATCTCGAAACTGCTGATGGTGGTAGTTTAAAAGAAATGACCCGAACGGCACGAAAACACACATGCGTTGTCAT